TTCATGGCTGACCGTTTAAAAATAACCTTTTCGGCAGCCTCTATTTCTACCTCTTGCTTGTTTTCTGTCGAATTATCTCCTTGTGATAAGTCGACGTGCAGTATGTCACGCTGATCCTCTGTCTCCTGAACTTCCTTCTTACTTTTTTCTAATGCTTCCTCATCAGTTATCCAACCTGTGGGAGGGGGCATTATCCTTGGAGGTGACCCATACTTTTCAGAGCGAGGCACTCTCTTCTTCCTTTTGGGTGTCCCGTATAGTACGTAGAAATCGAAAGGACGTCCAGATGGCTCCCCCAACAAGTCTACTTCGCGAACTCCCTCTTGATGTAGTTGCTTAAATAGAGTATTGCGCGATACTCTTCTCTTTTTCCTTTCTGCTTCTAGGTCGATTTCTTCTTTAATGTCTGCCATCTCATCGTCCTCCTTGTCGTTGTAGGCCTCTCCAGAAGTCTGGCCTTCTTCACATACCAACACGCAGGCTTCTCCTTCGTTGTCCTCCCTCTCTTCTTCCTTTTTCTTATTCTTGAATTCATTAGCCAGTAGGTAATTATTGGCCACGACAGGAGGCAACGTACCGAATTGGATAGCAAGGGGCTGATCTGGATCTTCTTCATCCCTTTTGTCCCTCTCAAACCTTGATCTCCCAGAAGAGGTTTCTGGCAGTTCCTTCATTGATTCATCTGTACCAATTTCTTTACTACCTTCGAGGATGTTCTGATTGGCTACCTTGAGTAGTAGAGGCGCTTTAGGATGTGGCATTCCTTGTTGCTGCCTCATCATCCGTCCGTAGTTTCACTGGAAACGCCTTTGTTGGGTCCTAGTCATCTCATCGAAGGGTATTGCCCTTCCTGCACTGTACTGGAATGAATGCCATACATTTGGCCGGATAGGTTGCGGCCTAAATGTTCTTCCAGTATCTGCTGGTCTGTACTACCTTTCAAAAGGCGGTCCTCTATAGAATGACGTACCTCGCCCTCTACCAGGCTGAATGTTTGGGAAGAAGGCAGGGCGATGAGGATGCTGCCATGTCCCTGGTTTCTCCGTGTCTCCATTTACTTCCCTTTTACACCTTGCACACAGGACGTTTTCATCCTTTTTTGGTTCTTTTCCTTTGATTCGTTCAAAGACACTGGGGTGTGTTTTAGTATCCTCTTCTCCATCATCTATGACCAACTTGAATTTTGGCAACTTGTTCTTGAATCCAGACGTTACCATGTTTACCCCAAGTGGCTGTGGGAAAGGATTCTCGTCCACTGCCATCTTTTTCTTATCATCGAACGTAATTCGTCCTGATTCAATGGCATCCTGCAATACGTGACGGAAAACCAAGCAATTGTTAATCAAATGTGACCATGCATTATGCCACTTACAATATTTTTTACCCTTTATTTGTTCAGGGTTTGGCAATTTGTGCTTATCGCTCAGCTTTATTTGCTTATCCCTATATAATTTATCGAATATAAGGTCAGCTTTGGTCACATCGAACGAGAACGTTCTAGCCTTTATGTTTCCATCCTTTATGGGCTCATCTTTGCCCGATGGTCTAGGCTTGGCCATTATGGGACAAATATATGTATCCCCTTTTACCAATTCGGCCAAACACATTTCGGCCTGATCGTATGATTCGTCGTCGATGGTATGAACGTCAAAATTTGGGTCTCTGTAATAAGTCCCTTTACTAGAATTTTTCATTTGTTCTTCTTCTCTTATCAGTCGCTCATACCTAATCACATTCGCACTCAACTGGAAAAGGTCGGGAAATTCCTTGTCCTGGAACTTCTTTTTTAAATCAAAGCTCAAGCAGCCTTGTGCGATCTTGACAAATTCTTTTTCGGATAGAGGCACAAAACACTTGCTTCTTGCTGTTTTGAACCTTTGGAGAAAACTTTCTGCCCATTCATTTGGCATTTGACGTAAATTCGCCAAATCAGCCAAAGTGATTTCAGACTCAGTTTTATAAAACTGAGCGTGAAACAACTGTTCCAGTTGTTGCCATGTTTGAACAGAGTTCGCTGACAAGTTGATGAACCAGGAGAAAGCTACTCCTGTTAACGAACTAGGAAAAAGTCTCATTTTATGGTCATCGGTTACATCACCACTTTGCAACGTGAATCGCCCTATGTGTTCTAGAGTAGACACCTCTCCTAAACCGATAAACAATGAGAATTCTGGCACTTTGTACCGGTACTAGGCTGGTCTACCCAATTAGGATATGGCTTTGTGTACGTCGGCCTAATGACAGTACGTACCCAAAAACCATCTGATCCTGCACGATTTCCATAATCTGGTTCCTCAACATGACATTGGGATTATATGGAATTCCTACAGGCTGATTAACCGGTTGGTTTGCATGAGGCCTGATGTTTGGTCCTTGATTGGCAACAAAATTACCATAATTAGGGCCATTACCATTAGCCTGGACATCTGTTCCCTCATTACCACGTGGAATATTCTGTCCATTGTTTGGGACATTATCTCTCACGTTTGGATTACCCCCCAAGTTAGATATGCCATTACCATTGTTTTGATTTAACACTGTAGTATCCCCTTGGTTTGAAGTAGAGGGACCAGAAAGCGGTTCTACCCCTTGATTCGGATTTAGGACAGAGGGATTATGTCCCACAATTGTCCTAGTTTGAAAGTGGTTTGTAAGAGGTATAGCCGGTTGACATATTTGGCCTACTAACTTATTCATTGTTTCGTTTAACGTCTTTACTTGTTTGGCCATGTTGTCATAGTGTGCATTCCCATTTTGTGTAAATCTTTCCATATTATGAATACTTCGAAGATTTACCTGTTCAACGACGTCCTGTGTGAGTTCTCCAAGTAATGCACGCATGGTTCGAGGACTCAACTCCGTCATTGGTTCGTAACGACTGTTACTGCTCTGATTTTGTCCATCTGTTCGTGGAGAGGCATGCTGCTCCTCATATCGCTCGATTACAGACTGGATTCCTCCCTGACTTGCTCCTTCCTTGTCGGATCTCTGAGGCATATTGTTTCTTCTTTTGTACTTTCAACACCTAACACCATTGTCCCACTGGGCGTGCCAAATTGTTTCGCGCGGGTTAAGTCGCTAACAATTAAAAAGGATCAGACGATTGTGTAAGGGACGAAAACCTCTTGAGACAAAGTCCCAAAAAGGGGTGTTCTTTTATTGGCGATGAACTTTACAATTGGAAATGAAAAACAACGTGCCTCCAAGGGACGCAAGCACACGAGTTACTGAAAGAAAAGTGTTTAAATCTAAAAACTAAGGAAATGAAAATTACATATTCTCTGTTCGAGAGTTTTTGATTCGGTCTTTTGCTTCTATGTCCTTTCTTCCTTTTATACTTTATAGACGATCTCTTTGTGATTAACTACTCTGAAAACTGCTTGATCGTCCTATAACTGCCCACTTTCTTCGTAATGACCATTTTGTCATGGAAACTGCCTTTTAACTGCTGCCATTATCTTTCATCGTTCAACCGCTTTCGATTGAATTCCTTGAATCGTGGAACGTGATAGGGCTGCTTTAACAACTGCTTTGATAACTGCATTTCTTGATAACCACGACGCGTTATATTTGTTGATACCTTGGGCGACTTGGAGGTTTGGGCGAGAATAGAGTAACAGCTCTAGGCTACCGTATGACACTCTATTCGTTCAGATTCTGGGCGACTTGCAAACTTGGGCGATGGCGTTACCGCATTCTTGGGCTTCCTTATTTGGGCCTTCATCTTGCTTTGTTCGATTGGGCTTCGTCCTTTGGGCTATCTGATTTAGAGATCCTCTAATTGGGCTTCACTCCTTGGGCTGTTTGATTTGGGCTGAATTTTTATGTGTCAACACAAACCAAAATTCCTCAATTAGCAAGTAATGAAGATGTTTATGGAGTTTATTGCTTCAACAAGACAGAAAAATAGAAGATATATAACAAACGAATAGACTTGATAAGTAGAACAATCGAAAATATCACTATCTGATGCATTTTATATATTCCTGACACCACCATGGTAGGTACTATCATGCCATCTTATACATTAGTGAATAGGAGTATCTAAGCATTTTCTTTAGTGAAAAATGTGGTTTTATATCACCATCACCAAAACCTTCCACCTAGATAAAAAAAATTTATATTCACAAGTGATGAGTTTTGTATCGAATGATATTATAAATAAAATGGAACATAGTCATAAATATTACACAAAGGGTAATGGCGTTATAATCACAGACAACGTGAAAAATCATACAATATAACATTTACATGTTTATTAAAGACAAACCAAGCTATCAAACTAAAATATACCACAAGGTATGATAGATTTGAATTTCTACTTTTAAGAGAAACCATGAAACCTATTATGATAAGCACAAATCAATTAAATTTCAATGGTAATATAACTGTGTATAAGTGATATTTCAAATACAAACATAAATAGAGCTTTTAAATTAAACTGCTACCGGACGATAACCATAATAATTTCCAATTGCCCAAAAAGAATGCGATTAAATAGATTATCAAGATCTGGAATATTCATGAGCAATAAATGAAATGAAAAAAATGTTACATGTATTTTCACTTTCTTAAAAATTTATGGTAGATGTTTCAGATGAATCACCGATCAGATGTATATGGATAATTGTATTTTTATGATACAAATTCGCCTTCCCTTGATGAGTAAAATATTCTGAAAATTGAGTATTTTGTATTTAAATCTCCTTAAATTTAGCAATATGATTTAATGCAACATGTTTTTAATTCCTATGATTTTTTCAGTAACATATTTGAAAAAGGAAAGTGTAATGCATAGTACTTTTGGAATTCCAATGGAGTTTTGCAGTAATTTTGGTCATTAAATGGTTTTAATAGTATAAAATGAATTAGTACCCAATTTTTAAAAGTATACCTGTATTGGGTTGGCCCTGCATATAATATCGGGTTAGCCAAGGCCCACTGACAGTCTGAGAGTTTATAAGTTCAACCAAAGAAAACCTGTTCCAAACAAAACGAAACTCAACATTCCGACTCCCAACCCACCCTACCCCACTGTCAGTTTTCGACCGGCGATCTGTGGCAATGATCTCTCTAACATCGGCCGAATTAAACTACCTTGTCTTCCGTTACCTAAATGAATCAGGTTTCTCTCTGTGCCACACTCTTCGTGTGCGGAAAACTTCAATTTCTGTTTTTTGTGTTAAAATAGGAAATGAATTATATCAATTTAATTATATGTTCGACTGAAAGACGGGAATATAATTTACTGTTTTCTTTTGGTTCTAATTGGGTAAAATGTAATCCTAATATCCTTATTTATGCCTGAGATGTGACTTTTTTAGTGCTGTTCGTCTCGTGTGTTTCTTTTTCCCATTTTGTTCTTCTACGAATTGTTTATATTTACCTTGAAAGTTTTACTATTTATTGTAATATCTGCTTCAAAGTTTCAGTTGAGTAAGAGGATTTCTTTTATGTAAAAATAAAAGGACTAAGAAAATTTGACGTAATTTGTTTTGCATCCTCTTACACGGAAAATGGAAGACAAGTAAAGAGAATAAATTTATGGAAGACAAGTAGGGTTTAGTATTATCTGGCTTCAACTACGGAGTGGGGGGGAGGAGGAATGAAAGGGGAGGATAGTGCTAAGTAGTAACAGGTGAATTTTCGAATTATGGCTCGCAGACCAGTGCTTATGAGATTATGTTAGCCCTGAAGAAGGTGACGGTGGCAATGCATGTGGACTTAACTTTAAGAAATTCATGTTTTTCGCTAAAAACATGAAGGCTCTGAAATGAGAATTAAAAATTTGAGCATTGAAAGCAGAAGCAAAATTAAAATCTTTGCCGGGTAGAATTATGTAAAGATCTCATGTCCCTATTTTTTAAACGAAAATAATTTGTTGATGTGCATCTTAGGATTATAATCTGGCCACCTCAAAGTTCTTACTTAATTTAGAATGAGGTGGATAAAATTTTCTTGCCATATGGAGAGCAAGCTTGCAAATTCAAACGAGAAATATGAGAATGAGGTGGAGAGTATTAGGAAAAATTGGAAGCGTTGGATACTAACTAAAATTGTGGGTTATTGGAGGAATCTTTGTGGGCCAAAAGTATGAATTCGAGGAATAAGATGGAATGAGTAAGCTAGGTATCCTTGGACAAGTATTGTGACGTAGTGTCATGATCTAAGAAGAGAGGGAACCTATTCAGAGAAACAAAATTGTATTCTAAAGGCTTAGTATACTTTGTTTCTGAAAGGGGGAATGCTAATTGATGGCTTTTGCATAGGGGACAAGCGTGACGAAATGGAAAGGTGCATTTGGAGATAATTTGTTTTGACTGGTCAATATTATGCATTTCATGTTATTTCAGGCAATTATGCCTTACGCATGTAATTGAAAGGAGTTTCACTTAATCATTATGAAATTATCTACAGCCCCTTGATAGGGTGTTTTTGCAATGCTAGTGATCACAATCATAATGACATGTTATGATGATTCTTAAATAGCATTTTGACAATAATGATCACACAATGATGATACAATTATGATAGATGGTATTATTACGATGATATGATATCTTGAGGTTAATAATTATTTAATTGGGAATTAGTAATAATGTTGTGCATCACCAATGAGGTTATCCAACTTTCCTTAGTGTCATCCAGGATATTTTGTAATATAAGCTTAGTTGGAATTTGGATTCCTTTTTATGAATTAATTTGGGATTATAAAAGCTTTTTTTCCTTTTTTTTCCCTTTTTTTTTTTGGGGGGTCAAAGTATGTAAATTAAATTCAATTGAACAAGAAGCCAAATCTAGAATTCAGATGTAATAAGGGAAATATAGTAGCCAAGATGATCGGTTGAAACATCATTAAATGATGTTGAGAACACTAGATTTAGGACTGTTGTTGATAAAATTGTAAGAATAGTTTATATAGTGAATTCATGAAACATTAATGAAAGTTTAATGGAGTAAATGGTTTAATAAAGCAAGTGAAAGTAATTCTTTAATGTTGGTCAATCACGCTTAAAATGTATATATTGAAGTTTACTTATATTTATTGCTTAAAACAACTATTTGAGGCTTACACCTCGAATCCCACATCATGTGAAGCTTTCATAAAACACCTCTGAGCTTACTTCTTAAAGGCCATCTGTGAAGCTTATGCCTCGAGGCCACGTGCGCTTTCCATGGATTTTGTTATTAGCTTTAGCTTTTTGGGCTAATTTTTTGATAATCTAGAATGTCTATTGGGTTCTTTTATTTTCTTTTTCATGTCCTTACACGGAAGGACATTGAAGGGAAAAGGGAAGGAGAATGAATTTATGCTAGTAGAGGATAAAGAATGAGAAAAACACTGATAATTAAGAGGAAGAGGATGTTGATGATCACCTTAACGACTGATGATATAAGAGTACTCTAAGTTGTTTTTACATCTATTAGTATGTAATATACTAACGATTTTGATTCGTAATTACTAATTTGAGAAGTTATTATTTGCTAATTAATAAAATTTAATTTTTGTTTGGAAGTCAGACTTTATTTTTTTCTTTCGTTTTATTATAGATTTTAATGGTTAACTATGAGCATATTTTTCTATTTATATACTGTTTTGATTTTTTTATCAGATTGCTTTGAGGCTTACGCCTCGGTTCCCAATTAAGACTTTTTAAGATATGCTTATATTTTTGTAATTAATGAAGTAAATGAAGCATTGGATGAAGTTGGATATATGTTCAAACAAGCTAGAAGCTATAAGTGGAAAAGAGCTGGTTCTCTCTCTATCCATCAAGTGTGTGTACAAAATTCCATCAGTATGTAGTACTAAATAAAGTAGAGAAAAACAAAATTTTTATACAATTCCTTTGCAATTATCATCTCTCAGAATTCATTGGATAAATGTACATTTTTTTTTTTTTTGGGTAGTATGTGAAATTCCTAGAGTTCCAAGATTCTTTGATTGTTGATCATGTGCTGAATAAGGTTATTATAATGTCATGCATGTCCGACCACAACAAAATATGAAGCCAACAACTAAGTTTGAAAATCAAAAACTTACGTGAAAATCAAAATAGAACGTTAAGTAAGTATTTATTGATTTGAAGAGTGAAGCTTTAAGATTTAAATTTTCTTATTGAGATTAGATTTATTTTAAAACCATCTTGATTTCATAAAGAACTTCTGAGTTTGAATCATTGATTCATTAAAGTAACAGTGTCAAATTGAGTAGAAACCATGTTCTCTGAGTGTAATTTGGGAAAAAAAACTTTTAAGTCTGAAATACTAAACCACAATCTTCCCAATTTAGCTGTAAATTTACATATACAGTTAGCAAATTTGAATTATTCAAAAATCTTCCAAATCTTTTTCATACCTGAATTATCCAAGAACCTTAAGTTTCAACTTATATGTTAGTTTGAGCATGTTAGGTTAAGCTTAAAATGTTTACATATAAGTAAATAAGTTCGTCAGAGTTAAAAATAAGTTACTTATTTTGATAATAAGATAAGAGTTGCTTTCATAATACTTGAGGTTGGTTTTTATTTAGGGATAGGAAGAAAAATATCAACATTTAAAGTCATTGAAAGCTTTTTACTATATTTTTAAGCTTAGCCTAACATGCAAGTGCCTTCTCATTTGTATGTATAATTAAGCTGTTCAGCTTGGCTATGCTTAAAAGCTATGATGCATCTATATGGGCATGTGGGTTCGACACGCGTTGACGCGTAATATTTTAAAAAGCACTTATATGACATGTTGTCAACACATTGATTAATTTTTTAAAATTCTTCATTTATGTAATATAAATTTAGTTTTATATTTGTTATTAATTTTTCTTGTTAAAATATTTTAAATATAAGTACATATTTGTTTTTTAATAATAAATTTAAATTAAAAATATATAATATTTTTTATGAAGGAAGAATAATGATTATGGTAGAGTGTCAAGGAGTGTAGGTATCCGATACGTATCGGACACGGACACGTTATCCTAATTGAAGTGTTTATGCAATAGAGCTTAAAAGTTTACTTTTAAGTAAAATTACTTGTAAGTAAAAAGTGAGTTTGAAAATAAATAAATATTTTATTGGTTAAAGTTAGAAATTAGTTACTTTGATAGTTGTCAAGATTCATTTTCAGAGAAAGTAATCTTTTTACTTAAAAAAGTAAGGAAAATGAAAGTTAATTGAACATGTTTTTGTGCGTCAAATATTACTGAAAGTAATTTTACTTTTTTATTTTTATTTTTAATTTTTAGCCAAACGTGCATCCTTAAATTTTAGGTCCCTGAGTAGATCATGCCAGCTTCTCTTGGTCAGAGTAAAATGTAGGCATATTGGGTTGGGCCAGGCCAAGCCCATGGACACCATCTTTACTGGTATGAGAGCGTTTATGTAATTTATTGTTCCACAGAAATCTAACCTTCTGTGCCAGAAAAGAGAACCTTTGCTGAACATAATGCCCTGTGCCTCAACCACTTTCCGACAACCCATTTGTACATGCAATTGGTGATTTGCGACAATGATCCCTCTAACCTCAGCCCAATTTAATGATCTTATCTTCCATTATCTTCATGAATCAACTACTTTCTTTCACACACAGCATGTTGGTGAATGTATGTTTATAATTCTTGCCGTTTTCCTCTTGTTATTGTCAAAATTGCCCAGTAATCTATTTTTTTATGTTGATATAGAAAATGAATTCTAACAATTTTAGCCCCCGTTTGGTCCCATTTTTGGAAATGAAAATGAGTAGGATAGTGTTTTTTTTGAAAAATGAGTGGTTGAAAAAAAAGAAAAATTTTAAGACTTATTAATGTCGGAGATTTGAATTTTTAGTGCTGTTGGGCCTTTATTATTATTATTTTTAATTTTTTTCTTCATAGAATTGTTTATATATACCTTGGAGATGTTGTAATATATGGTAACATCTATTTAAGAGTTTCAATTGAGTGACGGGAATTTTTCTACTATCAAATATGAAATAGAAAAAGAAAGAAAGAAAAAAAGGAAGACAGAAAAAAGTAGAAAATTGGATGACATGGTTTGTTTTGCCTCCCTGAATAGAAAAGTGGGAGACAAGTTTAATAGTATGAATTTCTGGGTAGAGTTACAGAAATGTTTCGTGCCACTAGATGTCATAAATGAATATATATTTTGTTGACAAGATTCTTAAGTTCGTAATTAATCACCTAAAGGCTAAATAAGCTGAATAAAACTTCCTTGGTGTTGAGTCCTATTATAATGACATCATCTATGTAGACGAGGATGTAGATGTATGAAGTAGTAGGAAATTTGAGAAAACGGAATTGTCTGCAATGAAGAGTATAAACCTGTTGAGATAGGCTGTTTTAGTCTATCAAACTGGGTGTTGGATGCCTGCTTGAGGCCATGAAGTGCCTTATGGAATTTGCAGACAGGAGAGGGTGATGATTGATTAAAATCACGAGGTTGCTCCAGAAAAACTTCTTCCTCGATGACCCATGAAGGAATGACATCAAGTTGTCTCATACACCATTTTTTGCAAGAACTGTTACAAGTATAATAACAGGATTAACTATTTTTGTCAAATTACAACCCCATCTTAATGATATTTTTTTGGCTACTAACTGAGCCTTGATTGAGACACTATATCATTGGCATTTCTCTTAATTCTAAACTGCAACTTGCACCCTACTTCCTTTCTGTCAGAGGGCTTTGAAACCAAGGTCCAATTGTGATTCCTTGTTAGGCTTACTCTTCAGTCGTAAGAATCTCACTTGGCAGCTTGAGTAGATGTAGGCTGAGTCGTTTGAACAGCTTCTGATCCTGTTGCAGCAGTTAAAGAGATAATATTCTTTGGTTTGTAGATCCCTAGCTTTCATCTAATGACCATAGAATGTTTGAGGCTTGCCTGTCTCTTGCACTATTGGTGCATTAGCAGATGTATCATCATGCTGGGAAGGGTGTAATGGTGTAGAGGGATGCTAGGGAATATGGATTTTAGATGAGGGCATTAGAAGAGGATGAATTGAAATAGTCTCAAGATGATTTGATTGGAGGCTGGGAAGGGCAATCAGAAGAGTGATCAAAGTATTCTGAAAATGTGAAGATCTTGTTGGGCTGGCTATAGTCATACTGGGGATTGGAGGTATTAGGAGAAGATGAGGAATAAGGGAAATAGCTTTGATGGAAGATAACATGGTGAGAAATGTAGACTCTATGATCATCTAGTCATACATTTTGTAACCCTTATGTTGAGTGTTATTTGTATTTAAGATTTTGATGTGGATAAAAGGTGCAACCATATGTTGCTCAGACTCTCCATTTTGGAGAAAGCATACGTGTTGAACGCGACAAGGATAAGGGTAGAGGATTGGTGTCGGATCCTTTAAATAAGATAGTCCTTTATATCATTTTTGTTATTTTGATATTGAATTTTAAATTGTTTCTTATTTTTCTCACATTTAGACTTGAAATGGAATCCTTGAAGTATGGTAATTGCAATTTAATTTTTTTTTCTCAATTATTAGTTGGGAAAGTATATATATATACACACATATATACATAATCTAAAATTATCAGTATATAAATTGCTAACAAAATTTTAAGTTTGTGAGACATAACTTTCCGTGTCAAAATTTTGGATCATTTTTCAAATGTATCCTCACATCCTAGATTTTAGAGAGAAAAGGATCCTACTCCTAGATATATACCTGTATTGGATACCCATACCGGAGTCCAAGCAACGTAGTTGTAACCTTGGATTTTAAGTTCAGAATAATTAAGATTTATGTGAAAAAGGACTTCAATGGGACTTTTGTTGTAAAGGAGTGGAGTGGATAATCGATTATTGAGATTGACTGATTTAAGAAACGCTGGAGCTTAAGTGCCGTAAATGACTGAGCAAGAAGAATGAGAATTTTTTCACCTATTCTGTGCTTTCACTCAGCCGCTCCATTTTGGGCTGGAGTATGAAAGCAAGACAATTGATGAGTGATACTAGTTTTTTTCCAGCTTTGCTGTTGAAGCTTGATATTCACCTCCACAATAGGTAAGTCAGGTCTTGATTTTAGATTTTAAAAGAAGTTCAACATGAGATTTGCATTGAACAAAAGTCTGAAATACATTGAACATATTTATTAGGGTAAAATATATATGTATATCCTGTGTATGGGTAAATATATGGGACATAGCATCTGTCACCTTTTGCAGAAACACTAGGTGATCACCAAAGGTCTGAGTGAATTAAAGGCTTAGTATACTTTGTCTCCGAAACAGGAGTAATTAATGGATTTTGCTGAGGGGACAAGCATGACAAAATAAGAAAAGTGCATTAGAAGATAACTTTTCTTTAGACATGGAGAAAACGTTTCTGACAATATGATTGGATGGATGTCTAAGCCGTTTGAACTATAAAAGAAACAGGTATGATGACATTTGATGACATTGGTACTTTGAAACAATAGAAATTAAACTAATATTAGTAGGATACTCCATGACAGCTGGTGATATATGATTTGAAGAAGATTAGTGGATGTGCCATTGATGTGGAAGGATTAACCAAATTTGACCGAGTGTGCACTGGTAAGCAGAAGAGATTGAATTCATGGAGACCTTTATTGAGCTTTCCTTGGAGTAAATTTGTTCTCATTTCCACTTGACAGAAGAAACAGTTGAATGAAAATTAAGAAAGACATTGTTATTATGGGTACATTGTGATACATTAATGAGTTGTTTGGTCATTTGAGGCATGTCTAAATGGTTTTTTAGTTTAATCTCTTTAGATGAAAATGATGGCAAAAAGGTTGATGAACTAACAGGCAATGTAGGCAAAACCATTACCATTACCAACATGCATGTGTGCATTTCCTAGATACTCGGAGCGTTACTCAAATGACTTGTTGCCCCTAAATCTTGGAACCACAATCCTACATTGAATGTGCCCTGGAAAGCAAGAAAGGCCTGCATGTTTCCATTCTGCTGACTTTGACCTACTATTGCATTGTTGTTTCCACCACTAGTGTTCTTTCTAGTAACGTACAGTTTGTAGATTGGTGCTTGACACTTGTATAACATGTAAAAGAGTCTTGTTCATTTTTGAAGGGTCGGATGTTTGTGTTATGTTGGATCTCGTGCAGTGCCGACGTGAATACAGCATGATAACTGAAGTGTCTGTGTAATGAAGGCAATTTATGAGGAGCTAAAAGTCTTGGAGCTCTTCTCAATGTTTTCAGATAGCGATAAAGGTTGTATGTGAAGTACTTATCAAAAATAATAATAATAATAATAATAATAATAATAATAATAATAATAATAATAATAATAATAATAATAATAAAATAAATAAATAAAGCTTGTATGTGAAGTGAATTTTCTATGAAGTCATTGATTTATGCTTTGTGTTAGAAGCACAACACTTCTTACACTTTAGTACTTCAAAACTTTAGGACAAGTATTCTCCAACAAAAGGAGACAATGCAGGCAATAGAAGGATCAATAAAGGAATTTTTAATGGGAAAATCGCCGACTTTCGTAGATACTTTCTATCTGCAAGCAGTCCATCATTGACTCTAATTTGTAAAAGAAATGGCGTTTAAATCAGTCTTCGGTGAATTTTGGTATTTTATAATTTCTCGTTTTCTATGGTGTTAGGTTTGGGTTAGGTCAAGTCATGTTTTTGTTGAACCCAAATTGGTTAGTCTCTAATAGGAAGCATAGTCCTATTAGAATTAGAAAAGTAGAATCCTAGATAACCTATTGTAATGCCTACATTTGGTTAGAGACAACAGTTTTGAGGAAATTTTAACAGCTTTTGAAACAAAGATAGTGCGATCCATTTCTGACCCTAAGGTCGATGCTTAAATTTTCTTCTTGGTCCATTTTTCTTTCCTTAACTTCTAGCCATGGTGCCTTGATTATCAACTGGTTTTTTTCCATCCTTAACCATCAAGCAAATCATAATCCTTTAATCACAATCATCTAATTAGCTTTCAACTCTTTTAACTTGGTCCTGTAACTGATTGAACTTCCTTGAATCCTATTTCATTCATTGTTATGTTTATTAAGGATAGCCGTTAAGGATGTCCTTCATCACTTTGTTTCTTTCAGAGGTTTTTATAGTGTATGTTAAGTAGTTATGTTGCATTGATAGTCTACTACTAACAAGATTGTGGTTTTTTATCTTAGTCTAAATAATAGGAAATAGCATTATTAGGACGTTAACCTTGCATAGACAAAAACTGACGTAAATACTGAAGAAATGATTAATAATTAAGGGGATTTTTGTGATGCAAAAGTTGAAACACTAAACACTGTTGTTTCCAAAAGAAACTCTGTATCACTCTGATTTTTATTCAATGGACCTCTCCTCTACTGTTCATTCATAACTGGTACAAATGGCTTCTTTCAGGGTTCACACATTCAGCTTTTGCTCTAGGATATGAGGCAGGGATCAATAAAAGCACAATTGATGGTAATTTAGTTCCACCAGGTGCTCTTGTTACCTATGTTCAGAAAGGAATTCAATACCTTGAATTAGAAGCAAACTTGACTAGTGTAAGTATGTGACTGATGAAGTGGTGGGTATTGAGTTATTTGTTTTCTACATTTGATTATATTCCACTAACTTAGAATTGTTAACACATTCAGGATGATTTGGACACAGATGAGGATTTTCAGTTCCTGCAACCTTTGGATCTTATCACGAAAGATGTATATGAACTTCGAAAGATCATAAAGGAGAGAAAAGAGAATATGCAGAAGGATAAAGCTAAAGGAAAAGAGAAAGAAAATGCTGAAAATGACAGGGAACGTGAACCTGAAGCTGCAATTGAAAAAGAGAAGGAACCCGCCAGAGGAAAAGAAAAAGAAAAACAGCCGAAGGAGATAGAAAAGGAACAAGACAGTGAGAGGATAGATAAAGAAAACGATAGAGGGAAGGGCAAAGGCAAGGAAAAGCCACAAGTGGATGCCACTGGTACAAGTCAAAATGGAGATAAGATTAGCGGCAGACTCGAGGAGAATGAAATTGATGGAGGTAATGTACATATTCCTCTCACTTCTATTCATGCACCTGTACATGTCAATAAGAGACACTGACACGGACACGAGCGTATGACACAATAAGTGTCGGACGCTGATGTGCTATTTCTGAAAAAGTTCCGGCACAATACGATCCCAACATGTTGAATAAAATATCATTTAAAAAAATTTTTAATTTAAATTTTATATTTATTGCATCATATATATATATATATATATATAAATAATTAAATAACAAACAGAAATCAAAATAAAATTTGACATTAAAAGAAAAAGATTTGATTTCCTTTATAAGTTTTGTTTTATATTGAGGATAAAATGGTAAGTTAAATGGTAAAAAATTTAATCAACATAAAAACCTACCATTTGCTTTGTTAAAGGGTAAAGTTGCAAAAAAAGTTACCAAAAAATACTTTTGCAGGCATTTAAAGTTTTGAGGCCCATCAATTTGAATGGAAATTACGTGTAGGGTTTACTTCCTTAGCTGCAGCCGTAAACACACTTCTCTTCTTCATATCTTCTTCCTCCTCTACCATTTGTGCCTTTTTTCCAGCCGTTACTACAGTTCTTCTTCATCAACACGGCTGCTGTAACACACCTCTTCTACATTTCTTCTGGTCGTATGTTTTCTTCCAGCATTTTTTAAATTTTTTTTTTCTTCCACCCGTCTACATTTTTTCATCTCCGACATGCCATAAGGGACCTGCAACATGCGTCGGCGACAGTGTCCGATATACGCGTCGGACACCGATACGTTGATGCCGGCAGCTTGCCGGTGCTTCCCATTGTCAACACTCTTAGGATGTAACAATTAGCATGCTCATCTAAGCTTGAGAAAAGTTAAATACTTTTAAGTAACTTTTTGTCTCCGAACATATTTGAATGACTTACTATTTTCTGCTTTTAAGTAAATAAGTTACTTTTTTTGTACATAAGTTGTAACTAAATGTCAAAATAAGTAACTTATTTCCTCCTTGTCTGATAGAAAAAAAAGTTCTACAATTACTTATTACTTAAATTTTAAAGCTCAGCCAATCATACTCTATGACCACAGAAAAACTTCATTTTTTCTGTGATCTATGATTTTGGTTAGTTTAACTTACCCTATCTGTTTTTATTGAATCACAACAGGGCCAGAACCTATGAATATATGCACAAGTTCAACATCTTTGCCCTATGAAATCCCAAGTAGTGATGTGTTTTTTCTGCAGGGCCACACCTCTGAGGTATAATTTCTTTGCATATTTCTCGTTCATAATCCCCTATTGCCTTCATTTATTATTTAAATGCAATAAATTATCTGAATATTTTTTAAAGCTATCTGTATGATGAGTTGCATGTTCCTCTATTCTTCACAGGTTTTTGCATGTACGTGGAATCCAACTGGTTCACTCCTTGCTTCTGGGTTAGTGTAGCCTCTAAAATTGCTTCCTTACTTGGTACATTTAGTTAATACTATTTTATTCACCCATCCTCAGAAATATGGGTTCCCATCTAGCTGTTTGGAGAAGTAAATGTGTAGGATCTCAATAAAAATATGGACTTTAACATTTATATAAATAATAAGCTGAAGAGAGCTTTTTATCCATCCCCAGAACACAATTATGCACTCATCTTAGACATAAGATCATGTAAAGAAATCACTTTTAAGTCATTCTTCTCCGTCATCACAGCTCATCATATTTCTACACTTGCGTGCTTAAACACGTATCATCGCAGATCGCAGTTCATAGACAGTCTCTGCTCTCCTTTGATCTCATTGAGTTGTCAAATAATAAAGAACTACGAAGCACCTTGATTTCTTATGCATCGCTTATATAACATCTTGATAAAAGAATCAGAATCAAATCTTTTATTGTATAATATTTTTAGAACTCTGAAAGGCAAAAACCTTTGCTAAGGCTGATTTATGTTGCATGGCTGTGTAACTTAAATATTTCCAGGAAACCAAAAGCTTTTCAGCCTACCTAGAAAGACTTTAGGAAGTGAGAGAATAAGATTTTAACATAGATTGCAATATTAAATTTGAGATGAGTGCTATTTCTAGTGAATTGCTTGAGATTGTGTAATTCAATGTTTTGGGGGTTTCATTTCTCTCTTCTTCATTAAAGTTTTTGGTTCCAGTGGTTTTGGGATGAAACCTTGAGGAAATATGAGTTCCATGATAATGATTGATCATTGGATGAATTTCAATCGTGCCAACGTGAAAATGTTGAGTGACAAAGTTTGTTCAAGCAATGTCCTAAAGGTTTTCTAAAATGGAAAATGAAGAAAAAGGACAAATGAAGAATGGGAATAAATTAGTGTCAGAACTAAGAAGGCAAACTGTGTATTGATAATTTTTGTTTCTATGTATTTCATCAGGTCCCTTGTATTTAAATTGACACCTATTTGTTTCTGGCAACTCTGGAAATGTTTTCTGGCAAACTCATTTTCAATTTTTCATCTTCTGTTATTACATGTACTTTTTTACTTTTTATTTTTTGGAATTTTAATATTAGCAAAATAATTGTCCAGATCTTGTGAAGTTTCTGCCTGAACTAATCTATGTTCTATAGCCTGCTTTTTGTGAATCTAAATGAACTTGGTGCAAATGCCATAAACAAAAATTGCAATATTAGACGATAATTTGACTAAATATATAGAACTAAAAGAATTTTGTTGTGCGACATGAAAGAAGTTCTAAGTTTTTTATTGTATCTGGGCAGATGTTTGATTTAATTGCTGTATCTTTCTTCCTTAAAGAGCTTCATAAACATTATAGAAAATATATGTAGATAAACGTGTTTTGAACATGTATACATTGTTTCTCATTTCTGCCAAAAGATGCGACACTCTTCAGTTTACTGAACTCAGTCACATTGTTGTAATATTACACACCTGCTCAGTCAATTAGATTTATTGTGGAGCCCTTTAACCATCATGATTGTAGGATTGGCTTTTATGGTTGTTATGCATGTAAAAGCAATTCATGTACATTGTAACTTCCAAGAAAATGATGTTAAGTTTCTCCAAAATCAAAGCACACGATAAGACTTTTTTGCATTTTCATCTATTTGAGCCAGAGCTTAAATGGATAGGCAATACTATTACTTGAATGATCTTTTTCTTTTTCATTTTGTTATCTTGTTTGAAATTTTTGTAGAAATTGGCACAGTATTTAACCATGTTCAAGTTGGTGGTGTTGCTCGATATACCTTTTTTTTTTTTTTTTTTTTTGCATAAATAGATTTTGATGTAGTTACACTATTCGAATGATTTCTTGATGGGGAAGATGGCAGCATGAACTGTAATTCTGCGAAGTTTGAGTCTTCTGATTCTATTGTGTACTTGTTTTACTAGGTCTGGAGATTCGACTGCTAGAATTTGGACAATTGCAGAAGGACCATGTAGCTCTACCATGCAAGATGGCCCTTTAAATGTTGTTGTACTGAAGCATTTCAAGGGTAAAACAAATGAGAAAAGCAAGGATGTCACAACACTTGATTGGAATGTGAGTTTTCTTACATAATTTTTTGTGTGCTCTCTCTAGCATCCTGTAATGAAATGAATTTCTGAAATTTCTGAACTTCTTTATTGTTCATTGTAGCATTTAGTTCTGACAGGGTTTTGCATTAACTGTTGTCTTCTGAGCCTCGATTTGATGTCATTTTCTTCTTTTATTGTGAACGTCTCTTGGTGTAGGTGGAGGGGACGCTACTTGCCACAGGTTCGTATGATGGCCAGGCAAGAGTATGGAATAAAGATGGTAAGATTTTTCTAATGCTAATGATCTGAAAATGATACCACTGCAAAATTACTGTATTGTTCATATGCGATTCACAATGGTAGAGAGAAATGCAGACAGAAGAGAAAGGGTGAATCAGAGACTCAGGAGAGAGACTCGGAGAACATTTAATTATGTTTAGTGTGGGAAAATTTTAAAAGTGCTGGTCCGCATTTATACTTAAAATCCCTAGTAAAGTGGAAAGTTACTTTAGAAACAAACACGGAATATTTTTTAACTTAAACCAAATAATCATGGAAAGAAAATATCAGATACTTCAAAATCACTGGAAATAAGTTAAAATTTCTTTCTTTGTAACATAAGTACTTATTTTTGCAAATCTTGTCTTCATCAAAATCGTCTTCATTTTTTCCTGGTTTAAAGGAACTCAACTCAGGTGAGTAACTTTCAATATTGGTACTATATATTTGGATCAAGAGGGATGTCCTTTTGCTGAACAAGAAATTTATAAAGAACTCAGATGAAGAAGCATAATGATCTTCTTAGACATTAACAAAGAAATCAACTGTTGACATGAAAGTAAAGCAGCTCCATAGAACTTGAACAGAGGATGGTCCTGTACAGACAAAATATATGCTACGCTAGGGGCTCGAATGTGCTATGGTAGCGAATTTGAAATCTTGGCTTATTTTTAATGTGATGGCAAGTTGAGTTCCAGCCCTTCGAAGCATTCGAAAAGTATGGAGTGAGCATGACTTTTTTAACAACAATGTTTATTGTAACGCCTAAGAGAAATAAATATGCACCATAACATAATAACCCCTTTAAATTCTCTGTGCTTGCAATATGTATCAGTGGCAAACTTATAATTTTTATTACTTGCAACAGTTTTTCATTTTTGTAATCATGAAATCATGAATATGTTCAGTAAAGGCTTAGGCTTGATCAAAATGGCAGTAACCTATACGGCTAAACAATGTAGCAAAATGGGAAGCACGTACCCTTGGATCATGGCATCTATTAAACTGTTTATTTACTCTATCTACAGCTACTAAAATACAAGCACGACTTCTAGCAATTTTAGGTTACCGTAGAACAAAGCTAACGCTAAAGTGAGTCCAAGGGATATATGGAATTGAAAGTGCTTCTATTTGCCTACTCAGCTTTTTTTATAGGATTTATCACATGATAGTCAACTTTGTTAATTGCAATCTTGGCACTATGTCTATTGCATATTGAGTGTTTCTCATCTCTGGCAGCTGATAGTTAATCATCAAATGAAATCAAGGGGCCTCTGGAAACGAAATTAAGTGAAGCTAGAGGTTCATAAATCAGTTTATCTTAAGTTTTCAGAATATAGTATCTGGATATTTATTGCTGCAGGTTTCTTGGTGTGTGTGCTTGTTATTTTACTGATGGGCCTAATATACATTTTAGAAGCTCAAATTTCGCATGGAAGAGTTTTAGGTCCACCCATGTACACCTTCCTTTTCATTCATATTCTTGCTATGAGATGATGTCTTCACATGTGAACTCGATTATCTCCCCATTCACTCATGGTAATATCTACCCCCATCACCTTGAATACCACCATAAATCCAGTCTCCAAACCCCTCCCCCCTCCCTCTTTATTGCTCCAAGAACATTGTGCACTTTTTGCCGTGGTTCATGTCTCAATCGCCTCATTAGGAGCCTGGTCTTGCATGACATGCTCCACTCAGAATTGTCTTTCATTCTTCTTGTGATATCTGATTCCAATTATGAAGCCACCATAAACAAAATAATGCTAGAATTTAATTTTTCTGGGTAGCCGTAGGCAGTCATTGTAGAAACTAATGGGAAAAGTAAATATTTAACTTCATTCGTTTCAGCAATTTGCAAACATCCTGGAAGAGTATCCATTATTTGCTACACCAAAAATGTTCTATAAGAGAAAAGAATACACACTTGAACATGAAAAGAATGCCGCCTGCCCTTAATCTTAGCATGTTTTCTCCTTTTAAAGAAAACTATATGTGTTCTTTGAATAACAATGATGACACACTATTTAGGAAATGGATGGACAAGAGTGGATCAAGGGACATCACTCTTAATCAAGTCAGGCTTAACAGTGGTGCTGGGGTTTTCACTGTGAGTTGTTCTGGTAGCATTGCCCCTTGCTGATCTGGAATGTGACAGGCCAGACTGAAAAGTTCTTTTCTAGAATAATTATACGTTCACATCCAAGGATCACTGCTTCTTTTTATTAGTTTTTGTGGATTTTGTTGATGAGTTGTACTAGTTTTTAGAGAGTGAGTTGTTCGACCCTTTCAGTATGGTGTTGCATCGCACCCTCTTCTGATTCTCTTCCTTTCCGTATGGAAAATGCAATGAATTTCTGTAAAATGGTATTACAAAAATGTTCATGAGGTATTAAATAGAAATGTGTTTAACTTATGAACTGATTTTAATCTACATTATCTTGGTTTTCTTTTCGTTTTTGATGAACTCAGTGGAAAGATGTTGATCTTGTTGATATCTTGAGTTGAAAGAGTTTATGCCCTAATACTTCCTCATAGACATGCTTGAAGTACATGTACACAAAAATGAGCACTTCTTTGGGTGGAGAAGTGGAGTAACTTCTGTTGATAATTTATTGCTATATATTCCACTAGTGCTCGAGAAAGCCAGATCACCAGTTTGCTACCTACTTGTTTAGAAACTATATTATTCAGTAGTTTTACATTTTTATTATGTGTATAATTTAGTATTTGCATTATAAATGGCCAATATATGCTGTTAATGCTCATGATTTGTTCATAAATGTATTTTTTATCCAGGGGAGTTGTTCAGTACTTTAAATAAACATAAAGGACCAATTTTCTCTTTAAAGTGGAACAAGAAAGGAGATTATCTTCTTAGTGGGAGTGTGGATAAAACTGCTATTGTGTGGGACGTTAAGACGGGCGAATGGAAACAACAATTTGAGTTTCACTCAGGTCTTTAACGGTCTCTTCTCTCTCATTTTTATTGTTGATTGTTTATATTTTGTCACTCAACTCATTCTATGATGTTTCTTTTAAACTTAGATTTGTTATGAAATGTTATTGCAGCTCCTACTCTAGATGTTGATTGGAAAAACAATGTTACATTTGCAACTTGCTCCACTGATAGCATGATACATGTTTGCAAAGTTGGAGAGAACCGACCTATCAAAACATTCTCTGGGCATCAGGTTTATTTCTGCTGTTACATATTCTTGAAAATGTTCCTGAATAACTATTTTGCAATAATGTATATTTTGAACCTATAATTTTTTAGGAATTCCTGTCTAAGTAATAATGCCGTATGGAATTAGTTAATGTTAAGTGTTTTCTGCACAGTATGTGTTATTCTTCCCATGGCTGGGAATGAATAGGGAGTTTGATCCCAAGACACCAATTTGATCCAAGGCACCGATTTGATCCCAATAATTCACAAGGTCAATTGAACTGCATCATCTCATGTTTCCATACAACAATTTATCACGTGTATAGTTAGTACACTTTGTGCTGGCTAATCAATTTTAAGAAAATTAGTGCAGAATAATGTGGAGCTAGATTTCTAGATAAGGAAGTTGTTATTGTATTAAAATTCTTTCTTTTTATGCTGTTATTAATATCTAAATATGATATGTTACTTCAGGGTGAAGTTAATGCTATCAAGTGGGATCACACTGGCTCCCTGCTGGCTTCATGCTCTGATGATTCTACTGCAAAGGTAAGAGACATTCTCTCCGTATGACTTATAATTTTTAGTAACTAGTCACTGCTGCTTGTAATTTATCTATCTGAATCCATAATTAATGTGTCCTCATCTCAAACAAGTTTAAACTCTAGAAGAGGTAATTTAAGATGGTAATGGTGGAAGGTACGGTCATGTGTTTCTCACTGCCGCTCATTTAACATGTCTTGACTTAGATGAAAAATGAATCCAGCCTCGAGCAAGTTGAAAACTAAATTTAAATGAATAAAATTGTTCATGTCTTACAGCTTAAGCTTTAGATGAGGTGGTGTAATGGACCAGCTTCCATTATGCAATTGATTTCTTGATTTATAGTCCTGCAGCCTTTCCATGAAATGGACTAGGAAAACTGTGTAGTTGGCAACATTAATCCTTTTCCTGCTCTAGAAGTGAAATCGAACTTGTATATAATTGGCTGTTGACTCATTGATTAAAATGCAGATATGGAGCATGAGACAGGACACCTGCATGCTTGATCTGAAGGAGCATGCCAAAGTATGTCTTGAAGCTTTTATGTTTATTTTTATTTTCTTTATTCGATTAAGACAGCTGCCTTTCTGACACAAACATAATATTTATAGGAGATATATACTGTTAAATGGAGTCCTACAGGATCTGGTACAAACAACCCAAATAAGGAATTGGTGCTTGCAAGGTATAAGTCTGCACTCTGGAAGTAGAATGTTAGTATTGTGAATTGTTTGGTAGTTGAATGTTAGTATTGTGAATTGTTCTGCCCTTTTATTGGTGGAGATTGTTGTTAGATTATCTGAGGGGGGTAGGGTATTAATATTTTCAATTAAGGTTGGGAGAGCTGTTACAAATGTAATACCCTTGTCACTATTTTGCTGATACACATAATTGCAATCATAAATGAAAGAGAAAATTATCTTTTGGATCATTACCTGTTCTGTGTCTGTCTGTCTCTCTCTTTTCCTTTGTAAGACTACGAATTACATAATCCTCTTTCATGTTAAATTCATTTAATGCCTCCTGCACTGGAATTCTGGAACTCGCTTATGCGATGTTCATTTTGTCAGTGGATTTAACACAGTGGAACATTGTATATACTGGAATATCCACTAGAAATATTTTGCGGCCAAGCTTAAAAGACATGAGAATAGAATCAAGCTAGGGGATCCCAGAGAGATTAGCATAAATGTTCAATTGTGAGATAAAGCAATTTATCTATGGGAAATTTTTCTAGCTAGTCGATTTTTCTTTTGGCTAAAATTATTTTTGTCTCCCACCATAATTTTTATGAAATATGGCCATTTAGTCATGCAAAATGACAATAATGCCCTTTGTATCAAAATATTCTCTAGGCAATCTGGGCTAAGTTTCTGAGGAAGACTTGAGTAGCTAAATTGACTGGAAACTCTATATCAACTTTGCCTTGTTTGACAAGAATGCCTTGATGTTTTGAAATTTGTGCAATAAGGAAGAGAGTTATCAACTTTGCCTAGTTTGACAAGAATGTCTAGATGGTTCAAAATTAATGCAAAAGGGAATATGGAGAATTTGAGATCATTTTTGAAGAGATAAGATATTTGTCTATTTTTTTATTTTTAATTTTTTTATAAAAGGTATTATTAACCGAAAAGTAGTGGACACCTTTCATTTTATCATTCAAAAAGTATTCTATGGAGGAAATTTCCTTTGTCTATTTACTGTTGAGGGGGAAAATGCTATAGTTATGTGTAATATATATAATTTTCGTACTTATTTAGTTTCTTTTTTTCTTTGCTTTGTAGTGCCTCTTTTGACTCGACCATAAAGCTGTGGAGCGTGGAAGCTGGGCATCTTCTCCACAGCTTAAATGGCCACAGGTAAGGATCCTAGATAATTTTGTTAAATCGATGAAACATGGAGTTTTATTGAAGCCTTCTAATGACTCTAACAGGTGAATGGTTGGGAGATATTGGTATAGAGCTAGAACGACAGTGTCCATGCATATCATTCTAACGACTTAATCATGGTCATTATGTAGTATGTTTGGCTAAGCTTAAAATAAAAGGATAAGTACTTTTTATTTCCTTATATGTTGGTATAAATTATATTTTTCTTTTAACTAAACATAGTTAATCTAATTACTTTAGCGAAAGGGGAAAATTGTCCGGACCTTTGTTATTTTAGTTAGGTTTGAGTCTGAAAGACGTGAATAATGTCCCAAATTACGAGAGAGATGTAAAAAGCTAGCCTGATTTCGCCTATTCCTATTCCTAAACAGAATAATTCTTTACTTTACCATAAAAAATAAGTAATTTATTTCAAGTTTTACTTAACAAAAATTTCATTTATTTCAAAACGTTTAAGTGAACTTTTGTGAGCTTGTCTCATAGTGCTTGATGAAAAACATTGAATCTTTGTTTCTAAATATATATAAATGCACACACCCACAAAAATGCTCGAGTTTCGACCTTTATCATTGTTAATTTACTTTCTGTGATATGATAAACGTGAAGTGATTCTGATATTATGATGTGCTAATTAAATGTAGGGAACCGGTTTATTCGGTTGCATTTAGCCCGAATGGTGAGTATTTGGCAAGTGGATCACTGGATAAATGCATGCACATATGGTCTGTGAAGGAAGCTAAGATTGTGAGAACTTTCAGTGGAAATGGTGGAATCTTCGAAGTTTGCTGGAACAAAGAAGGCGATAAGATTGCTGCCTGTTTTGCAAATAACGTGGTTTGCGTTATAGATTTTCGTATTTAGCAATGGAAGAATTTCCTTAAACTGCCTCATGTCCGAAGCTCATACTTTGGATCAGAGAATAGGTTGTCTGATGATGTTTTTAGGTTTTTGGTTTCTCTACAGATGTAGAGAATCTGGTATCTTTCTGAATCAATCATTCTGTAGTTTGATGAAATTTGTTTTCCTGCATCAATGTCATCAAATTCTCTACTCCCATCATATGTTTGGAAAGAAAGATTAAATATTATTCGATTGGTTAAGAAACGAAACAAAGTTGAAACCTTATTCATTAGACTATTGAGTCATATCCAACATTATGTATAGATTAATAATATTAGTACATCGTTGTGTACAGATGTATGACATGGAAGAGAGATTATATTAATTGAGGTTCTTTTCTTTCCACGTCTTCTTTTCTTTTTCTTTCTTTTTTCATATTATCTGTTTGTACATTATTACTTTTTTTCTCTCTCTCTCTCTTCCAAATCATCCATCTGTACATCATTATATATTCAATGTACGAATAGCATTACTCTTACGTATATAGAGTGACGGCCTCATGAATAGTATAGCAAATTGCTTAAGAAGATTGGAAGGTTTGGAGTTCTTTTCATTGGACATTTGTAACTTATTAGCTCTACAATCACTCAATGTATAATCGGCTTTCACTTCTCCGCTTTGGATAAAAACTGATCTCCATTTGCTTGTAGGTAGGTTATTTGAGTTAATTGAAGAATGGGTTTAAAAGAAGAGGCTCATCTTCAAAAAGTGAGCAAGCTTTTTGATTCGTATAATTAAACTCTTTTTCTAAATATTTAATTTCTGGATTAGTGGTTTCATTTTTCTTTTTCCCCAAACCTACTTTTGTTTACTAACTTCGAGAAATTCATAATGTTAATTTATTATTTGTGAAAAACAACTTTGTTTGCAATTTTATTAAGGTTATATTTTTAGGTACAATTTAACTAAAAGATTATGATTTATTGTTTTCTTGAAAGGACGTTGAAAATAAATAAATAAATAAATAAATTATCGAATTCTCACTAACCAAATGGACCTTGCTTCTTGTACAAGGGCATGTACACTGTCCCACCCGCCCCGAGGGGGTGGGACCCAAACGTGGGCCCCAATGTGGGATCTCGCCCCATGTGAGGGGATGAGGTGGGCCCGTGTACAAAGGGCTCTATTCTAACCAAATTGTATGGACGAGCCTTTCAGCATTTGGCCTGTTGAATTGCACGAGTACTGCGGATACTTGGAAAGTGTCAGTTATGGCCAGAAATTTGAAATATATTGCCAAACAGTTAAACCTAATGATGTGCGTCAAGCACATGCGATTAGCCTGTACAAACTGGCTAGAGAAGTCCGCATCATTTTATATTGATTAATAATTTTTACTTGGAATTAAACTCGATTGCAAGCATGTTATTGAGGTCCTGTTTGGTGGCCTTTAATTGCGAACGACTATTTTTTTGAATAGTGTGTATATATATATTTTTAAAGAATTTGTAGTTAAAAAGTAGAAAAAAAATTTAAGTTTACATATAGAATATTTTGTTGTGTAAATATACGGTTAAAAATGAGTATGATAAATAAATTAAAGTAAATTAAAGGCCACCAAACAGGGGCTAAATTTATTTAAAACACACTGAAAATACAATATAAGGTCTAGCGTGAGACATAGATATCCACTTACCCAGTAATATCTTATAGGAAAAAGCCACGAGTACAAGGAATTCTTGATAGAATATCTACCTATGTTGACGTGGTCGTAGATGATTGAATTGATTTCTTTATTTTCTTTCCATCTTTCAATCAATTGCAACCACGCGTTATCTGTCAAAATTTTCTGTTAGTTTTTCTTGTACTTGTAGTATGATTCGTAATTGATTTATCTTACAAATCAGTGTAGGAAAATTACTAATTGAATATACATCTCTAGATATACTATACAATGTGATTCTGTTAAGAAGCAATGAAAATTTTGGACTAATACCATATTAAAGAATTCATGGTTGGGATAGAAAACATATTACAAGGAAAAGATTGAGGAAAAAATTGCTTAGGTAGTCAGACTGCACTAAATACGAATCCTGCACTATGGGTCTCGACTGTTTTCGTACATTTAAATTCTTTGACTCTTCGATTCTATGCTTTCCTATCTCTTTGTATTCCTTTCGTGTCCGGTAAAGATATATGCCTTCAAGTCATTCAAATTTTTTAGAACTATGACGAGAAAATTTACATACACTAGAAAACGCCTATATTGCTTGCTAAGTGATTCATACAACTCCTCTAATCAATCAATTTGATAATTTTCAAAATTAATTATCCACGGGCAATCACATTAGTTTTCACTAGGAATTAATCAAGAAATACATAATGTATGATAGCATTAAATACGAGTCTGAATTGCCTCAAGTGCCAAGCCATGAGAAAGATAGATTCACAAAAAGATCATAGTGAATTTCAATTCATTAATGTGGAGAAACCACATTCGAACCTATGGTTGGCAAACTGACGACAACTTTTTTACAATTTGATTGGATCTTTCTAACTCAAAATACATGTGTTTGTCACTACCTGTAGTTGTCAAGAAAGTTCACCAACTTCTGCTCTGTCCTACTTAACTAGAAGAGATGCCGCAAGAAACAAAGATTCTTCTAGTAAGCAATCTTTACAAGAGCATTTCTTTATGCTTACAGCACATCTTGAAGATTCCATTCATAGGCTCCAAGGATATCAACAGCCTTCCCTCCATTGAAGTTTCTAGTGATGGACAACATCAAAACCAATCTAATACATGGCAAAATTATCTCCATATATCGCGTTACTTGAAGGTGAACAAGGTGAAATCAGAAGTCATTGAAAAGATTCATGATTAAGAGTACGTACTCTTCTTTTTCATGACTTATTCCAAGTTATCCATTCCATTAAAACTTTGTTCTTTTTCATTATAGTTTATGACCGGAATCATTAGCTGCCCGGGTGTGGGCCTTAACTTGGTGGTGGTGGTCTCAACGCATGAACAGTCGATATGTAACGAGAAGCGACTTATCAAGATGGATGTAATTTAGTGATGTGCATATTATTTTGTTTAAATT